GGGTTGGTCTTAGCTAGCTTCACAAAATAACTTTCCATATTGTGAAGTTAAAATTAGAAGTTTTTATCATCTCCTGAGAATACCAGCTTCCGTGTGTATGTACCTTAAGAAGTTTCTCTGTCATTCCCTCTCACACGGCTACCTCCTCTAGATGTCTGCATCAGAAAAAGAAATGTTTTTTAGTTTCATAAACCACACGAAGTAAAATGAACATTTGATTTCAAACGGTGTGTAGCAAAGCACAGGAATCAGTTATTTCAAACTCGAACGAATGCAACAAGTAAACAATCAAGGCAATATTGTAACTTGAAACGTACAAGTAAATGTCATGCATGTTTTATCCCATAATTCTGGTCACCTTGTCCCTTTGACAGTTGATTATGAATATTCATGTCTTGACATTATCAAATGACTGTCCCCAATAATGTAAGGGTAGCTACCACAAACTTGACAGTAGAAGAGGTTTTCAAGAAACAGGGTTCCTATACACTTGCAATTCTCGCAGATAACAATCTTATATCATTTTATGAACCTGAATCCCATAAGTAAAACCCAAGAAGACCAAAGAACAGATTAAGAGTGGACGCATGACATGTTACATCAGAAATGAAGAAGAGAGCTGGTTTCATAATCTTCAGAGGAAACTGACATTGGACTATATGATCCAATAGTATAATTTTGAGGAAGGAATCATCCTTTTAAGTACCTAAACCCAAGTTTAAAAAATGAGTCAAAGACAAACAAAATAGCCATAGGAGATAATCCAGTAATCTAATACCACTTTGCTCATATAAAATAAAGCAGAACTTGGCTCCACTTCGCCAAGTTTCTGATGCTTAGTATCAGTCCTATATTCCAATGTTCTTAAATTCGCAAAAACGAATGAGAACATTGTTCCAAGCCACACATTATCTATTTGAAACACAGAAAAAAGACATGATGTGTATATTAAACCGTTAGTAAGTGTCGGCACTCTTTTTTCTTATCAGGAACAATAGGGGGTTCAAACGCAATGGGATTTCATTATTTCTATTTCCAGTCACGTACAGCTCTTCTTCTGGTGGTTGTTTCTTCATGCTATTAAACTATACCACAGTTATACTTGTCTTACCTCACTTCTTCTCCCTTTCTTATGCTCTGATTCTTTCTGCAATTCAAATTTTCAACATTCAAAGATGATAAATATACCAAAACATGATCACCTCAAACCTGAATAACTGCATTACTTTTTTCTTTGTAGTATGCAGAAAAGCCTTGCAAGTCAGGACCTATTCTCTCCAAGAAAAGTTCAGAGTGATCACTAATTGCATGTAAATGTGACCATAGTGAACAATTAGGCGTCCACTCAGACAAAGCTAGAAAAAAATTTGTGCCCAAGTGATCTTTATGCAGTATTGAATTGTTCAAGCACACTTCTAAATGTTTAAAATCTCTAAAGCCCTCACATACTTCTCTTAATCATTAAGAGTTGGTCATGTAGCAATGCAATATAAGCAAGGACATACCACTTCATCACAACCCATATCCAGATATAAGCTCTATATTGTAATTACATGGCACCAGCACCAGTAAAATTAAAGAATCATCTCGTGGGTCCATAGAAGGAAAAGAAAATAAAAAAGTTTACTAACATTTCTAAAAGAAGATTGAAATGTGACCATGCCAGGTTAAATTAGTAGTTTATTTTAAAGTTGTAGAATTTCTTGGGAAACCATTCTATTCCAGAGATATCAAAAACCAAAATATTCTAGAAAACAATCAGATGAACTAAATCTACCACGAAGTCAGCACAGAATACGCTGAAATAAATGTTGAATCTGTAACAGAGCAAACTTCAGCTTCGTGCTAAAAGAAAAAAACAATTTCAATGGGAAAACAGAGCAGAAAGTTCCCTTAGCCTTACCACTGGGATTTGATTTCTTCCCTCGCTTAATCCTCTCAAGCTGAACCTGGGTCTCCATAAACATATGCATCCGCTGTACCTCCAAATCCTTGGCAAATTGCATCCTCTGCTTCTCCAATTCCACCATCAGCCGCACCTTCTCGGCTTCCACTCTTTCATACACCTCCCCGAACCTTTTAATTGCTCTTGCCAACCTACTCATGCCCTCCCCTTCCGCCTCCTCGTCGTCGCTCACTCGCTCCTCCTCCTCCTCTTCGTCGTCCTCCTCTTCCTCCGTCAATGCAGCCGCCGCAGCAGCAGCCGCTATAGCCGAGTAATTCCTCCGAAAATACCCGTCGTCCACCGCTGCGGCAGTCCGCTTCTGAGACACGGCGACGACGGCAGGAGTAGCAGCAACGGCAGGGGGTGGCGTCTTCCGAAAGGGCAAAGGAAGAGCCATAGGAGGAGAGGAGGGTTTCTTCATGGAGACAGTAGGGCCAATAAGTTCATCAAGACGAGCATAAAAGGGCCAAGAGGAGACAAAACTGCCATGGGAGGCAGCAACCCGAGCCCTCTCGGTCTTGTACTTCTTCTTAACGGTGTCGATCCGGTTCTTACACTGAATATCGGTGCGATGGGTCTTCTTGGTAAGGCCATGAAGGGAGTTGACAGAATCGGCAACGTCCTGCCAGTCCTTCTGGCGGAGATTTCCACGATTGAGGTCGAGAAAACGACGACCCCAAGCGTCGATGAGAGTAGAGGTAGCATCCTCGCTCCAACAGTCTTCGCGAATGGGAACCTGGCGGGAGTTAGCAGAGGAAGGGGTGAGAGAATCGGTGAGATCCCCCATCAGAACTCAGAAAAGAGATAAGGGAGAGAAGAAGAAGAAGAAGAAGAAGGAGAAGGAGAAGGAGAAGGAGAAGGGGAAGAAGATGACGAAGGGAATGGGTAAAAGAGGTATAAAAGAGGGAGCGTCGGCGATGATATCGCCGGGGATGAAATGGGAAGCGGATAGGGATAGGGAACCGAAAAGGAAGCGGGCCGGGACCGGGAGGGGGGTTGGGTCATGGTTTGGTTAGTGTGTCGGAAGGGCTCGGATTCGGCTTCGGCTTCGGCTTCGGCCCAAAAGAAAGCGGACGGTGAGGAGGAAAGGTGGGGTCGCTGACAAGCGGGAAGACTGCGGCCTGGCCAGCGGGAACGGGAGAGGGAATTTCCGAAACGGAGAGGGTTCACGTGGGAGTGCCTTTGGCCGGGCATTGATTGACTACGATGCACGTGGAATCTCACGCGGCAAGCGCGTGGCCGGCCGTCGACGCCTTTTTTTTTTCTTTTTTTTTTCTTTTTCCCCATTATCGTTTTTTCCCCCTTCCAACTGCCTGTACTTTTATTTTTTCTTTTTTCTTTTATTTTGGGTCGTCGTTTCTCGTCCGGTGGATGCCCCCGCCCCAACTAACTCTACCGCCTGCTTTTTATCTTTTATCTTTTTTTTTTTTTTTTTTTTTTTTTTTTTTTTTTTTTTTTTTTTTTTTTTTTTTTTTTTTTTTTTTTTTTTTTTTTTTTTATTAAATGCAGGATTTGCGGCCACCGGAAAACTACTTTCTTTTATTTTTCTTTATTTTACGAATATTTTTGTTTTCTTACATTAGTTCATTATTAAATAATACTACTTATTTGGAAAAAAAAATTAATTCTAAATTTTGTTATTTGTATCCACTCCCATTTCATTAAATTTCATCCTAAATTTAATTAAGTTTTACCTCGCTTCATTTTCTACTTTGTTCACTACTACTTTTAACCCAAAAAATAATGTAAAATTGTTCCCAAATTCATTCTAAAATTTTGTACTAAAATAACTTTTACTATTAAACATTTTTACCAAAATTTCAACAAAAAAAATAAATAAATAAATAAATAATGGAACTTGATACGGGATTGGGCCAGGACCCTGGGCTCCTAGAAGACCAACCACGGCCCTAAACAAAAATTCTCTCCACAAAATATTAGTTTAGAAAATTCATGATATAGTTACATAATATTAATTTTGGGGTAATTATAGATTAAATAAGCATCTTTAAATCAGAATTTAAACAAAAAAAAAATTACTCGTTCACCAAAAACGACACGTGTTTTTCTTGTCCTCTAGATCAATTTTTCTAAAATCACACTAAAAATTAAGAATCCACAAGATCAACAAACCAAACATAAACATTGGAGCCTTCTGAGTCAAGTGCACGAAGAACAAGAATATGAGAACCATACATAAAGAACTTGTACCAATATTAAAATAAATAAATAAATAAATAAATAATGGAAATTCAAATTTATTTTCACCTAACTAAATTTCTCCCACTTTTAATTTAAACACTTAGACAAATCTAATAATAATTAAATTATTGAGTATCATGGTTGATCTATAAGGGCATAATCATAAAATAATTATGATGACAACTTTTTTTATGTTTGACGTGGAGCTCAAATTGAGTATGACTATATATCATTTCCTCTTAATATCTTAAAGAAAATCATTAATATCTTATCTTTTTTATGAGTTTTTTTATTTATTATAAACTAACTTAAATTTATTTTTTACGTTCAAAAGTGAACTTTTTTTTTAATAAAATATATACCAATGTTAATATTCTTAAAATAAAATGGCAGAAAGGCATATGACTTTTTTAAAATATTTTTATAATCCTAAAATTTGGCATAACAATTAGAATTAAATATTATGGTGGAGAGGCCCACGTATAAAGTGATAGGATAGTTAATGGCATTTAAATGACCAAGGCTTGTGGGGTTCGATAAAAACCATAATGCTGATTAATTAAAATATTAAATTTAATTCATACGCAATGCAGAAAATCAGGAAAAAAAAAAATCCAACGGGGCCGAGATTGATACGATCCATACATACTTTTCATTTTTCATTTTTCACATATTATTTTCTTGTAAAAAAAATTATAAAAATGTATAAATATATTTAAGTTCATGCCTTAGAACACTTAAATTATTTGAAATATAGAGCTTAGTTTAAAAGTGTAAAGCATGGTATTATTAAGTGTAAAATAGGAAAGAAAAAATGGTGGCATATGGGCAGACAAAGTATATTATTGCAGCTGTACAATCATCATCATATCACAATCACTCAAAATTATGTTGATGCACAGAAATAATATACATTTTATATCAATTAAACTATGCTTATAATAGAATAAATTCTAGACTACTGCATTAAAAAATCCACAAATTTCCAGAAAAATATAAAATTAATTAAGCAAAGATTAGTAAAAAATTAAATTTACCACATTCTTAATTTCAGATCCTTCTCTCTGCAATCAATCTGGTGAAATTGGAAAAGGGCTTTTTTTTTTTTCCTGGGGGAAAGGAATGATCATGATATTGAAGAAATGGAATTTAATTATGATGATATATATTTCTATATGGTTTTATGTTTTAAAAAAAAAAAAAAGACCCACAACCTGAGTAGCCGGTTATTAGACATGGCTGGGTGACTCGCAAATGCTCTCTAAGTGAGGTCTCCAGACGCCGACACGGCCGCGCCGCCGTTCGCGGTGGGTGGAGGCTTTCTCGGAGAGTATTTCGGAGAGGTACTGGTCGGAAACGTGGAGGTTGGACATGGAAATGGAGCTGTTGTTGTTGTTGTTGTCGTCGTTGTCGTCGGTATCGGCGGTGGCAGATGCGAGGGCGGCGGGGGGTGTTCGGTCGGAGTGATGATTGTTTTTATTGTTGTTATTGGTAACTCTCTTCTTTCTTCGGGAGGAGGATCGGGAGCGAGGCTTGTCAGGGTTGGGAGGGAGTGGCATGAGGAAATAAATCTTACCGCGTTGGAGGTCGGCTTCCGGTGGGACGATGACGATCTTGGGGAGGGCGGAGGCGTCATCAGCGCAGGCGGCGGAGGAGGAGGGGGAGGAGGGCTTCTTAAGGACATGTTTGGGATGGGCTTTCATGACGTCGGAGGCTTTGATTGAGCCACTGATTTCTTCGACGTAGCCATTGGAGTGTACTATGCGGATCACATCCAGAGCTCCACATGGTAGAATGCAAGATATGCAGCATCTTATGCTATTCCTCATCTCCTTTTTTTTTTTTTCTTTTTTTTTTTTTTAATTCAGTTTCTTTGTTTCGTCAACCTCTCAGAGGAGAGAGAGTCGAAGGAAAGAGAAAATCTGGGAGAGAGATTAATAAAACGGAATATGGGAGATGAAAGGAGAGAGATCGAGAGAGAAAACTTCTTTTTTTTTTTCTTTTTTTTTTTTCGTTCTTCTTTATTAATTAATGTTTTATATTATGTACGCATCATCCATCCTTCCCCTTTATTATGTCTTAAACCTTTATAGGTTGAACATAAATTAGTTAGACTAATTTATATTAATCACATTAATATATGAATGAAATAAAAAAGAAAATCAGTCGTATAATCGTACTATATCGATCTTGTAAGAGCAAATCATCATAACTAGATACGTTCAATGAATTAAAATCTCAATTTCGAGTTTCAAAAATTCATTTTCCCTCAAAATCAACATAAAACTTCACCCATCAAATTATGGCAATCTCCTTTAACCGTACACAAAATCTTTAAATATAATATAATTTATCATATTCCATAATTTTCTTTCTCAACCGTGCAAATTTAGATTGAGATAATATTTATATCAGTTTAGTTATGTTAATATTAATACGAGCATCTTCTTGCTTCTTGAATATAATATCAAGGGTATTTTTTTTTAAAAAAAAAAAAAATAGTGTGCTAATTAAAAATATCCTTCCCACTAACTAGCCACTCGACCGATCTAAAGAAATGAAATCATAGTTGATTGTTTTGGTTTAATTTTCATATATTCACATTAAGAGATTGAAGTCAAAAACCATCATATCAATACTCAATAAACTTTCACAAAAGTCAATAAGTGGATAATTAAACTTGACCAAGATATCATAAGAATATAAAGATGAGATTTTGAAATGAATTGTAAGTACAGAAGAATTGAAGCAGAAAGGCAAGTGAAAGGGGTAAAATTAAATCATACCATAAAGTTAAAATAAAAATATAAATAAAAAAGGATGGAAAAGTGTGTATTAATAATTGAGCATAAAGATGGGGAGTTTGAGGGTTTGGGAGATGCGTGAAATTAGGGCCCTCTCTTTGTCTCACCAAGTTCAATAATTTAATTTAGGGTTTTGGGGACGGACAAGTGTCAACGTCTGATTGGTTCCCCAATTGAAGATTCAGAAAACTAAGACTTTCACACTTTGTTTTGGAAGCTTATTGAAATATATTTGTAGAGGAGCGACCAAATCTTGTGTGTTTCATATTTCAATATCCCCCACCATCACCATGTGAGACTTTTGCCATATTCGTTCCAAAGTCATCTCTTTTAAATCTTATCATTGTTAAGAACCACGATCCTTCACAATAGTATAATATTATTCAACATTTGAGAATGGTTAAGAGCATGTTCTTGATATCATATTAAGAATCACCATCATTCACAATAGTATGATATTATCCACGTTGAGTATAAACATTTATGAGTTTAGTTTTAATTTTTCCAAAAGGTCTCATACTGATATGTTTTACTTATAAACCAATGATATTCAATTCAAAAGAGCGTTGATTTGAATGGTATGGTTAGATACATGATGGGAAGAAAATGGAAGCATGTTGATCACCTTCAAACAAATAAAGTTCAAACTGATTGATTTGATTTGATGCCTTACAATTGCATCAACATATTGACCATATAGATGCCTCCATTAGCCCCATCCCGTCTTTCACCGAGTGTCCCCTCCCACAAATTTAAAAAAAATAATAAAAAAGTAATTATTCATGAACTAAATATAGAATTATATAGAATATAAGGTAACCAAATAATGTACCATATTTATACATAAATAAAGTTAGGGTTGGATTGAGTAATGTCCAATCCAAATTGAGCCCCCACAACTCATTTAATAGGTTAAGATGGAGATGGAGATGTTAGGGTCCATCTAACGCCCTTCCCACATGGATTACCATTGTTATCCCTTCATTGCACCTTCCCCTTTGGACTCTCTTTATTTTCGATTCTTCTTTAAACTTTATCAGTATTAAGCATTAAGATGAAACTTGCTTCAATTTTGCGTAGAGCTCATAAATTAAAATAAAGATAAATGCAGATCGGAATGATGATAGGCTATCATTCATCACTCTAACATAATTATTTGATTATATATTTTTTAGAAATGGAAAATTGGTATGAAATATACGTGGAGAGAAATTGGATTTAATGATTTTGTTTGGGAAAACTCCAAACGCTGGCCACCCCAAATCGACCGTATTCTAAATTTACGGAACCATGTTGGGGAATTATGTCCCCACAAATAAATAAACTTTCAACTTTATCAAAATAAAAAAATAATAATAATACTCTTTAAGTTTTTCATTGCAAATTTTTATTTAAATTTATACCTTTATTAATTTTTGTAAAGTTTAAAAATAAAAAACAGACGAAAAAACATTGTGCATGTTGTTTGTTTTTTTGTATTTGGTTTTGTTGAGAGGAAAAAAGTGAATGTATGTATGATGATCATTCATTATTTTTTATTCTGTTTTTTGGTACTAAAAAACATAAATCGGTTGGTGACTGTCCCTGATTTTATTCTAACATGAAATAAAAAAAAAATAATAATTTAAAGAAAAAATAGGATGTTAAATATATTATTATGTGGGGGTAAAATAGGTAGAAAGGTAATTGAATTAAAATTTGGTGAAAAGGAATATAAGGGGTTTTAATTTAGTGTTGGGAGTGATGTGAATGAAATTTGTCCAACATGATTGGAGTCCACATAGAAGCATGACATGAGGGGGCGATGTTGGGTGGGCCTTCCCACACTTCATTGTCACAAAGCAACTCTCTCGCCCTTCTTTGCACCTACCGCAACCAAACAAACATCAATCTACATAAATAACCTATATATATATATACACACACATACACATATACTTGGCTTTTTGTGTTTTTTTATTATTATTTTTTTATATATATATATAAAAGGAACAAATTAGAGGCCTCACAAAAAGCACATTTATCGGCCCAATTTGTATGGATCCAGCCCACGTTTTGAAACGTCACCGTCACCGTCATCTTCGAATTATGTACTGCAACCGAACCCTCTTTCAAGTGGTTCACGCGCCTCTGAGTCTTGTGTGGTCCATGGTCCGTCGCTTCCACAACTCACGGGCTTACGAGCAGATCCTTAAGAGCTGCACCATCCGTCAGGGATCTCGCGCTGGTCAGTCACTTCAAGTCCTGCGTTAAGCGGCTCCATGACGAGACCCATGTGATGCTAAATCCATGTGCTGGTCTTTACCATCAAATGGGCCAAATTTAGCATGAAATGGGGGCCCAGTTTTAAATCTATATCAATCTCATTTGTTGGGCCTGCAGATCCATGAAACGTAATTAATTACAAAAATCGTGGAAATTTTGGGAAGAGGCAAAAATTTAATGCCCACTTAACAATTTTCTCATAATATTATTTAGAGTATTTATATTAAAGATAATAAAGTTATTGGGTATCTGATTTAAAACACTATGAAACAAAACAAAACATCATAATAATAATATAGTTATATTAAAAGACAATACAAATTATTGAGTATATGATTTGACATCTTCAATGTTTGATCTGTCCCATGTTCAAAATCAAAATATCATTTTTTAAGTTTATAATCCATTGCATACTAAATTTGCTTATAAATTAAAATTTAAAGTTTATAAATCAAAATAAAATAATTTTAAAAGACGAATAAGTTTTTTTTTTTTTTTTTTAGTTTGAGGCTATAGTCTATCAACAACATATGCATAGAAAATAGTTGTTTTCAAACAATGCTTTATTAAGCGTGTCACAACTAGTTACAGAAAACTTATTTTTTAAAAAGAAAATAAACGATATGGGCATAAATATTTAGTTCGATCGGTCAAAAAAAAAAAAAGTTAATATTTAATTTGTAACTTTGGAAAATTTAAAAAGGAAAATTAATAAGAATCTTAAAAGTGGCAATAATTTAGAAAACATAGTATTTGGAGGAGATGGAATGTTTGGGGGGGTAATGCCAAGGTCTTATGGGATGCATGTGATTGGCCCAACCAGATTTCCGCAATCAGAGGAGGAATATTAAGACAACCTTTGGAGCTCGTCACTAAACTAATCCAACCACCCACCATTTTTAAACACAAAATTCTAAAATCAATGTTTATTCTATATTTTCTTGGACTTTTTGTATTTTTCTACATAATTAAATCTTTCATTATCAACCCATCAAATAAAATAAATATTGTTTAGCAAACACCTAATATCGGTAATATATTATATATTTTATATAAGAATGTTGAGCAGCTAAATCTATGTTCGATAAATAATCATACCATTTTTATCTTTACGAGACAACTTTTTGGATTAAACTTAAAATAAATGTACATAAAGTTATAAAAAAAAAAAAATACGTTTGTGTCTATATCACACCATGCTTATAATTTAATGCTCTTTACTCTTTTCTTCTATTCTTCTAAGCCTCTTTTATTTATTATTTGACTGGATTGAGATACTTTTAAATTCAAGAAGTTAAATATTTATTAGGGAAGTATTGGGAAAAAATTGACCAAAAGTAATTTTAAAAACCAGTAATGAATTGAATTATTTGGTGTATGGTTTGAAGGAATAAATTGGGAGACAGTGAGAGAAGAAAGGTAGGTGGACCGAGCGGGGCAAGAAAGAAAGTGCACAATCAATTCTTGTTCCTCCCTTTTATCAGTCGTTACTCAACTGTATTCCTCGTGACCACAATCAAAGAGAGAGGTCGGAGCGAAGAAAAGTCGAAAACGGAGAGCGCGTGAAAAATTGAATTGAAACCCCCATCATCGGCCTAAAGCAACGGCCCAAACACACTACACACTACACACTCACAGTTTGGCGCTCAAAAAGTCGCTCATTTCACTTTCTCATCTCTCATTTTCCCTAACTACACGCCATCATATATGGATGGACTGCTTACAGGGACGATCATTCTCTGTCTTGCCCATCTCTCCCAGTTACTGGTAATACCATCTTCTCTCTGCTGCTCTGTCTGTTTTGTTCTCTGTAAAATGCGTTAATGCTCTGTCTTCTCTTCTGTTTGTTTTCATTGGGGTCTCATAATCTCTGAAATCGCTTCAATTTGTTATCTCTTTTGCGTTTGTTGTCGCATTTGGACATACTTTGAGGGGGTGGGGCTCAA